TCAACATCCCCCGCACTGGCGTGGCTCGCCAACTTGACGCTGATTCCGCGTGCTCAAAAAGCCCGCTGAAAATTGGCATCTCGCATACTTCAAGTGCAAGACCCAAGTGCTTCAGTCCGCACTCGATTATTCATCTGATTGTCTCTTCACCCACTCTATTCTGGATGAATGCCATTAATCCGTTAAGACTGGCGCACATCGAGCCTGGCCACAGTCGGCCCCGTTGTTTTGCGTTTGACGATTACTTCCACTCTCGAGATCACGTCGGCACGGCCAGATCTGGCGCCAGCACCATCTTGTCCGCCATGCCCGTTACAAGGACTAATGAATACGCTTCGGTCACACGCGCGAACACCGCTGCCTGACTGCTGCCAGATAGTTTGACTTGTCTGCGCGTCTCGCTGGCAATTGCGGAAATTAGCACGTCCTGTTTATCGGTGATCCACGTCGCGGCGACCTCGTCAATGCCGCCTTCCAGAAATGCCGAATTAATAATCTGCATCGCCTCGTCTTGCTCGCCCTCAACTCGATTGCTGCGCCCTGCTTGCTGCTCCCCCGCGGGAAGCGCGCCAGCTGGCCACTGCGGCGCAGCGTAATTCTCCTCCGCGGCTTCGGGCTTCATTGCTTCAACATTCGCCCATCCAGCGACGGCGCTGTCACTTGGGCCGTTGCCGTTTAACCTCCAAGCGCGGCTAATCTCCGCGACGCCCCCCGCCTGCTCATCGACGACGCGGGCGGCCCTCATCTGATATACGTTCCCCGTGCCTTAGCTCCCCCACGTGCCAATTAGGACGCAATCCCGCCACGGGGTCGAACACCCCTGCGAAGGGGCCCCAGCGGGCCCACATGACATGCGCCTTCGCCGACCAGCGCCCAGATTCATCAGTGGTCGCTTCGCGTGTTATCCAAACCCCAATTGCGGACATGCGCTTCTTCCTCTTCGCGCCCATCATGTTCCCTCTTGTCAATGACGTCTCATGTGACCTGAGCCGATACCAATCTCGCCTGTGCCAAGCAGCATGCCTAGGTTATTCTTTTAATAAAAAAAATTGCGACTCGCGCTCTGCATCCGGCGCTCCGCGGTTCGCGATCGGCGTCGCCGCGCGCATTGACGCGTCATCCGCAACACCCAGGGGCGGCTCCAATTTCAACGAACCTTGCCCTTTTTTACGGCTAGTCCCCTCGCCTGGCGAGGTTTGATTTGAACTCTGTCTGCCTGCGCCGGAGCCGACGGTACGGTTGCAGCCACCCTCGGCTGCACTTCATCACCCATGGCTTTAGGGTTTGGCTGCCAGGGCAGCCCCTCTGCTACATTCACCCCACCACAACATCACCTTTCTCCCACACCCCACTTGCGTCGACACTCTGGCGAGCGGTGGGCGACTTATCCAGGGTCTGGCCCCGACAATGAGTTCCCGGCGCATCTCGCGCACGCGCACCCGTCATCAGACAACTCCTGACTCGCATTTGAGCCCCAACGCGCATCTGCCTTTCGCTCTAGCTTTGAGATGCACGACGCGCTCGCCAATTTCAGGCAGCGGCCCTCGGAAGGCGCTCCGACATGCTGCAGGAGTTATCTTTCCATCGTAACCGATGGTGAATTCGTTGATCGGCGATGAGGCACGCGACGCCGCCCGTGGCATTTGGCGGCGGCGCTCCGCAAGTTCGGTCGTTGACATCGAGCTTAGAGCCCACAGCGCTCGCGCGCCGCCGCCCGCCCCTCATTGTTTCTGGCCGCCCACCCAAAATCATCACTGGCCGCGGAGTCACCCGCGGGGCCTAAACGCACTCCCACTGACAACGCCGCCGACGACCTCGCAGGCTCCCTCCACGCGGTCAAAGACGATTCAACGTCACTCTTGCGCAATACTTCCCCGCGGCCGGCGAGTGAAATCACATCGCCCGCCACGTCGGTCGGATGCCTGACCGCCCCCCCCTCGGCCAGAACTCTGCCCCAGATAGCTCCGTTCCCCCTGCGGCACACAAGCCGGGGATACCCCGACTCGACTTCTTCCCGCGATTCGCATTTACCCTTTGCGATCAGCCTCTCCAGCCACGCACGCGTCTTCTATTTCTCTCACGCCACTTCCGCCCCCTCCACTCGCGTTGACTTCCTCTGTTCCTTTAGCGACGCCCATGGGGCCAAATGAGGGGGGCTCGCTGCAAGGAGCCCCTGCCTCGGAAGATCCTTCTCGCCGCCCACCTCGCCGACCAGCGGCATGGTGAATTGAAATGTCCCGCCACGCGCAGTGGGCGCCGCTCTCTTGCCTGAGGTTTTTGTTCAAGGGGGCTGCGCGATCGACATGTCTGCCCCGGTCCAACACGATCCTGCCACCTGCTTACAATTTCTCGCGCTTTCCTCACGTCAGCGATTGCCAGCAGGACTGCGACATCATCTCCCACTTGACTTCGCCGTTGAACAATGCGTTTTCACGGTGCTGTATCATCGCGCCGCTGGCCGCACTGCAGCGCCTTCCGTTCTTTGAGGCCTCCTCTTGTTTACATGGGAAGTGGGCGCGAACGGCGGGCGGTCCAAAAGTGTTGTAGATTCCCGAATTCACGATTACTACCACTGTTCCCGCGCTCGGTTCAGGACCGCCACCCGGCACGGCGTTCGCCCCATTCGATCGGATACCAACCTCGGCTAAGCCCGCTTTACATCCAAGTGCCTCAGAGTAGCCATTCACCAAACACTTCAGTCCTGAGCACCTCATCCGTTGCCCCATGCCGCGCGCCGTCTTTCTCACCCTTGCTGGAGCCTCCCAGGGGCTCTCCGGCGGGGCTGGATGTTCCAGATTTACCTCGTAACATCCGGAATCTATTTCTGGCTGTGGTTACCCGACGTGGTATCCGCTTTGGCCACCGTACGTCTGGCCCACCTCATCTGCACTCGCGGTGCACTAAGCTGCTATCTGCCCTTTTTTGCCCGCCGCATGTGTAAGATTCTCGCCCACCCACAGGCACGTGCCCGTTACCACAGGGCTCACCACCAATCAGGTACGCTGTTTTACCTGATCCCTTGTGCCCTCCGCAGTTTCCTTTCCTGTGCCCTTTCGACCCGTCTGGATAACTTTTACCGATGCCTGTGTTATTGCCTTTTACATGTGGCTTTGCATTCCAGGATTACGTGGCCCGTTCTGCCGCACTTATAGCACGTCATGTTGTCTCCCCCTTGTCCTTCGTCAACTGCATCCACATCCCCGTCTCCCCAGCTCTGTCCTTCATTCCGCCCATGATATCCGCCATCCGCTGCAGGCCACCAGCTAGCCCCATCATCGCACTCCTCTTGGTATCCTCCCGTGTAAGTACCCGATGTATCGCGCTCTTCCTCGTTGCTGAGTTCCCCAATTTCCATGGCATCGCCATGCGGGGTATCGGTGTCCGACCGCTTCCTACGCGCCCATTCCTCGCATCTGAGGCACAAATTCTGATATGACTCAGTGGTAAATGAATCAAGTGTCTTGCAGCAGCCCAGCTGTCAGTCATCAAACCGGTATGCTGCGCGCGGCTTGTAGGAGAGCCGTTATCTTGAAGGGGAGAGGCAGTTCATCGGATTTAACGAGTTTCTAAATTTACACCAGCGCGCTCGGGGCCCATGGCTGGGGCTCATCTTGGCTGGTAAGGTTACCCCAGCTACCGCGGAATACCTCTTGTGAATTCTCATGGAGGCGATTCATCCTTCACCCTCCCTTAGGCCGTGCAATTAACACCGTGCAGTGATGCTTTCCAATCCTTTGTGAATACGCACCACAGGTCCTCGTCCAGTTTACTGATCTCGTCCATGTCCAGGGTGCCCTCTTCTTCCCCTTGGTTGTCTTCGCTTTGTGTTTCTAGCCTGGCCCTGTTATACTCTGCGGTTGTTATTCGTCCGCTCAGCATTGTTATGGTATCTCTTTCCTCGCTGGGTCCTGGAACCGCTCCCACCAACTGTTTCCGATATTATAGTGGATGCCTTGAGCGCCTTGCGGCTGCCGTTGTTGACCTGCGCCCGTGCATTGAGTAATCGCTGGTTCCACTGACGGAACGCTGTCCTGTCCCCGCTGAAGCTTTTGAAAGACTGGACGCCGTTGGACTCGCTCATGGGCATTTGGGGCCTGTTGCCCCTGCTCGGCTCAACTGCACCAGCGTTCTGCGCGAGTTCCGCGCTCGTGCTCATTTCCTCTCAGAGACTGTTCCAACACAGCCACTATCTACTTCGCAATTACAGTTTCTGTGTCGTGCCTGCTCTCGCAGACGATTATGTTCAGTACTGCTGCGTTGGATCCACCAAACAGGTTCTCCAATGACATCACGTGAACAATAGATAGATCTTGATTACCTGTGCGTTCTTGCTCCTCCATGTAACTCGCCATTGCACCGTGATCAGCCTGAGAGCCCGCCTTGACGAACTCGTAGTCTCCTTGTCGGTTAGCCGTTTGGCAGTCGACCCCCAATTGGTGAGGTGATACTCGATCCACTCCTGTCTTGTATGTGGGTATTCCGACTCCTGGTCTCGCTGCCATGACTGCGCTCCGCTAATATGCACATTCGGCAGAACGATGGTTCATGATAAGCGGGCACAGAAGGAGTACACAAGTAGTTATCCTGCACCGATGCGAGGCGGTTTTATACATCTCGCGCCAAACGCCGGCAGTTGGACGGCAACTGGGTGCCTGTCATCATCATCATAACCAGCAGCAGCAGCAACAGCAGCATCAGCAGCATCAGCATCAGCATCATCATCTCATCATCATCAGTATTATCATCAGCAGCATCGTCACCATCACCAGCAGCATCATCATCCTCATCAGCAGAGGCATCGTTGTCATCATCACCATCCTCATCCTCCTCCTCCTCCTCATCCTCATCCTCATCCTCATCCTCCTCATTCTCCTCATCCTCATCCTCATCCTCCTCCTCCTCACTCTCCTCATCATCAGCAGCAGCAGCATCCTCCCCTGCAGCAGCAGCAGCAGCAACAGCAGCACGGCAGCGGCAGCGAGGCGCCCAACCGAACGGGCGATCCTGCCGCAGGCGCTCCTCCTCCCGCGCCCGGCGCTCCAGCTCCCAGCGCAGCTCCTGGCGGGCGGGGGGGGGAGCTGGGACCAGGGAGGAGAGGGAGGGAGGGAGGGAGAGAGGCAGCGAGGGAGAGGGAGGGAGGGAGGGAGGGAGGGAGCGGATGGAGGGGGGGAGGAAAAGGAGGAGGGAGCACACCACCTTCGATGGGCCCCTGCTGCTGCTGCACTGCTGGACGGGCCGCCCTCGCAACGGCGAAGCCCTTTCCCTGATCGGGAGACCTCGTGCCCGGCTCTCGAGGCCGCCCCCCTGTTGGAGGCGGACATCACCCCACGCCAGGCTGTCGCGGGCGCTGCAACCTCGGCCTGCGGGCCTCGAGGCGGGGGCAGTGCTGCATAGATGGCTGCCCGCGCACCGGGCAGTGCAGAACTCCCCTCGGCGCGGCCAGGTGGTGCGAGGGGTGGCACGACTCGGCGAGGGGGCGGGGCTCCACAAAGCTCAGTTGACCCGAGGTCGTCGGGGGCCCCCCCACCCAGTCCCGCTCGATGCCGGCCCACGCCTCTCGGGGGAGGGCCTGCGCACGCTGCCGAACTACACGCCTGGGCCTGCAGTGCGAAGTCCAGAAGTCGGCCAACTCGCCTCTGAGGCTAAAACTTCGGGCACGCATGTCGCAACGCTGAGCAAAGTAAAGCGAAGTTCCTCCGAAGAAGCTTGTGGCCAAAATCTCGCAACCTGCAAACCCTCTCAGAGAGACTGGTCGAGTACCCGCGAACGCGTCGAGTCCCACGAGCACCTCGCTCGCAATCTGGGGTGAACAAAACCGCACGCTGAACCGCAGACAGCCGTCGCAGAACCTGGCCTGCGAAGGGCTGTGCCACACCAACTCAACCTGACTGCGCCCGCTCCGCAGCCCAATCGGCGAAGCGATCTGCAGCCTGACCTGACAGCGACCAGGCTTCTGATCTGCATGCAGTATAAGTTCAAATCGGAGGATCATAGATCCTCGGTTCTCCAGCCCTCCCTCGGCTACACGCAAGAGTGACCCTGGGTAAGAGTGACCTGTGGTGCGCGGCTTTTGGGGGGCCGCGGGGAGACCAAACCAGGGCGCGCAAGCCGCTGCTACCGCGTCGTTTTCAGCCATCTGAGGACCCATCCGTGCCCGCACCAAAGGTCACTCCGGCGAGAGGTCCCTCTTACGTCTAGTCGACTCCCCCCCGTCGGCCTCTATCTTGGCCTGCTGCTGCGAGATGACGAAATCCTTGCCCCCGCCCTCTCGCTCGGAGAGCTGGCGCGCCTCGGCCGCGCCAGCGCGGAACGCTGCGCTGCGAGCGGCCGCCGTCGCCGCCGCCGTCATCCAGCCTGCCTTTTGCCTGCCTCCTGCCTGCATCCTGCCTCCGGCCAGGAACCTGTACTTAGCTCCTGTTCCTCCTCCTCCTCCTCCTCCTCCTCCTCCTCCTCCTCCTCCTCCTCCTCCTCCTCCTCCTCCTCCTCCTCCTCCTCCTCCTCCTCCACGTCCTCACCAAACCTCTGACTTCGTGCTATTTTTCAGCAACGGGGACCGCTGTCGAACCTAAAGACAACCAGGAAGCGAACCAGGACGAACAGAAAACAGGGGGTCAGCAGTTTTAAGACCGACGTCACGAACACGTGAGAGGAGGGAGAAAAAGAGGGAAGTATGGATGAGGGAGCAGGAAAGTGGGTGGAGAGTCGAGGGAGGGGAGAGGCAGGGAGGGAGGGACGGAGGGAGGGAGAGTGGATGGCTGGGAGGGTCTGAGGAGCATGAGCATGCAGGCAGGGAGCAGGGAGGGAGAGTGGGCGGATGGGAGGGTCCGAGGAGGAAAAGAAGTCGCTCTCCTTCCTCTTGGCCGTTGGATCGTGTTGAAACGAATGTGCGCGGAGCGACGGCGAGAGCTCACTTTTGAAAGCGGCCCGCCATCCATCCTTTTGTTTGCTGGAGCACTTGTAGGCGAATGTGCCCGACACCCGGGCGAGACCTGCATGTCAAGACCATTCGCCCACTGCCCTAGTGATTGTTGGAAGCATCTGAGCCGACTGTGCCCAGAAGCTGGGGCAAGATCCGACGATTGAAAACGACGCGCCCTCAGGCCCTGGTGACTGCTGGTAGCTTTTAGTGCGAATGTGCGCCGCGCTAGGGCGCGAGCCACATCTTGAAAAAGCCCCGCCCTTCATCCATGTAACTTTGGGGGCTTCTGCGCCTCGGGATCACGAGCCTTTCTGCCTCGGACGCAACGCCCGCACCTCCCCCATCGCCCTGCCGACACGCCCAGTGGCGCGACGAGGAGGAGCTGTTCATAAGTTTGTGGATGCCATGACAATGGACACTCTAACAATCCTATCATTGAATTAAAAAGTGCTTACAATATGTACAACATGTTCTAAACATGTTTCAAACATGTTACTACATATTTGACCATGTTTGACATATGTTTGGACATCTGGAAATTATTTGGCAGCATGCTTCCTATCCATTAATCGACTTCCACAATCATCAGGACGAGGGATGGAGGATGATGGAAGAGAAGGAAGAGGCAGAAAAAACAGGAGGACGAAAAGGAGGAGGAGGAGGAGGAGGAGGACGCTCTCCATACAGGGGGGACCCGGCAGAGGGAGGGGACAGGAGGGGGGCGACGGGGGTTGGTCGTCGCACCATCGGCGGTCGTGGGCGTCGTGGTCGACGCGTTCGTGGTCCATTCGCTTGCCGCGGCCGCAGCCGTGGCCGTCGTCAAAGAGGCGTCGCCGAAGCCGCGACCCGCCCGGCAACCGCCGCAATTATCGGCGCGGGCGCCGCCGAGCCTCCCCGCGCGGCGGTGGCAGCCCAGAGGGGAACTGCCAGCCTAACGCCAGGCAAGTGCGCTCAGCAGCATCTCGGCACTACCCCATGTGCAGGGCTCGAGGAAACCGCGGGGCCGGAACCAGCTGCAAGCAGCACGGACTTCGCACCCCCCTTTGTTCCAATACCCCAGGAGAGCCCAGAATCGAATCGATACAGCGGGCCGGCGATCACAACGAATCGGATCGGCGGAAATCGGCAGCCGAGTCGGAAAAAGTCGAATCGGCGGAGGCCGGCAGGTTAGCAGGCCCCTGCTGAGAGATCGGAATCCAAATCGGAATAGTGGCTCCCCTCCCCCTTCTCCTCCTCCTCCTCCTCCTCCTCCTCCTCCTCCTCCTCCTCCTCCTCCTCCTCCTCCTCCTCCTCA